TACCATCTTCTGGCCTGTAAGACTTCTGCTGAGAAATCTGCTAATAGTGTTATCAGAGTTTGCTTGTATGTGCCAAGCCTCTTTTCTTGTTGCTTTCAAATTTCTATGTCTTTGATTTTTGACAATTCATTATGTAGGTCAAGGGTCCCTTATCTGAAATGCATAGAATCAGAAGTGTTTCAGATTTCAGATTGTTTTTAGATTTTGAAATATTTGCATTATACTTACCAGTTGAGCATCCCTAATTTGAAAATCTGATATCTGAAATGTTCCAATGAGCACTTCCTTTAGCATCATTTTAGTTCTTAAAATGTTTCAGATTTTGAAGCATTTCAGATTTCAGGTTTTTAGATTAGGGATGCTCAACCTGTAATGTGACTTGTGAGGCCTTGTTTGGATTGAACCTTATTACAGATGGCAAGCTTTGTATACCTGAATGTCCAGATTTCTTCCCAGACTTTGGAAGTTTTCAGCCATAATTTCTTTAAATAAGCTTTCTCCCCTTTCTGTCTTCGTTCTTCTTCTAGAATATCCATAATGCAAATGTTAGCTGTCTTGATGGTGTTCCACTAATCTCATCAGTTTTCTTCATTCCTTTTTACTATTTTTTTTTTAATTTTTCCTTTTCTTACTGGATATTTTCAAATGACTTTTCTTCAAGTTCACAGATTCTTTCTTCTGTTTGATCAAGTCTGTTGGTGTTTTTATTGCATTTTTTGAATTCCATTCACTGTGTTCTTCAGCTGTAGGATTTCTGTTCAGTTTCTTTTTCATGATTTCTATCTATTCATTGGAATTATTTTGTTGATTTCTATTGTCTGTTTCATTTAGTTGTCTACCTATGTTTTCTTGTAGCTCACTGAGCTTTGTTAAAATAGTTATTTTGAATTCTTTGTCAGGCAATTTGTAGATCTCAATTTTTTTGAGATTGGTTTCCAGAATATTATTGTGTTCCTTTGGTGGTGTCAAGTTTTCTTGATTTTTCATGTTTCTTGAAGTCTTCTGCTGCTGTCTTTCCATCTGAAGAAGGAGTAACCTCCTTCAGTTTTACTTACTATAAATACCTTCACCAACCAGATTGGTTAGTGATTATGAGGCTCTCTCAGACTTTTTCTGTGAATTCACCCACTCCGCACCTCTTACCCATTTTGGGGGAGGGAAATGCTTAAGATTATATACTTTCTCTCAATCTAGCAAAGCTAGGCCAGTGCTGAGAGCTTCCTGTTTTGATTTTCTAGAGTGGTGCACTGAAATTCTCAAATTTGTATGTCTTCCTCCAACCCTGCGTAGTTGATACAGATATCTGCATGAAATGCTTCCATTTGCTGTTCACACAGGTGCATTTAGGGAACCAATCTTGGGAGCGAGTTGTGCCAAACATTTTGAGGGCCTATGCACTAGTTCAGGGGGTCCAAACACAATGTGTTCCAAGTGCCTTATAGATGCACTTCCTGATGCAGTCAGAGAGCAGTAAATTAGATCCCCACCTCTCTTCCCTGTCACTGTTCTCTTCCAACCACTAAACCATACCAATTACCATTGTAGTTTGGATAAGATGAGAAAGTGGGCATCTTGTTCAGTATCCTACAAAGCTGGGGGAGCTGGGCACTCATTAACCATGCTTGCACTCTCCCCACCCTCCAGGAGAAATCATGGACTGCACTGATCTCTCTTGGCATTGAGCTATGCTGCCTTGGAAGAAAGGTAATGCAGGCGAAGTGAAACTGTTTTTCTTATCCTTTTCAGTGTATCTATTCTCAGAGTTTTTGCTCTGATGGTGTGCTAAAACTTTATCCGTTGGATTCTTGGACCCCACAAAAGTGCTCTTGTAGATAGTTGTCAGGTTTAATACTTCTGCTAGGGGATAATGGTAGAATGCTCTTTTTCCACCACTGCATTGACATTACTCTGCCTTCTCTCTTAATTCTGCCTTTTCTGCATATTAGCCTCATTTTCCTCCTTGGAGCTTGTGAAGGAATTGAAGATGTCAGAGGCATCAGTCTTATTTTATGTAAGGATGCTCCTAAACCACTAATGATAGGACCTAAAATCTATTGTTGAAGATTCTGAGATATACTGTCAGTCTTTTAGCTGATGGCCTCATTCGGGGCCATCATAGCTTACAGGCCAAAATGTCTACTAAAACATTAGGAAGTGTTCACCACATAGACCCCTTCTGGAGCTGTGCAGTGTGTGACCAGCACAGCCATATGCATTAGCCATGATACCTCCTACTTCATCAAGATACAGCAGTAATGATATTCAATGTCTCATCTTTTCTACAATACCCTTGAATACCTGCCATCCTACATATATTTTATGAAATGGGAGAGTGAAAGAATGTGTTTTCAAATTGATACATTTTATGTAATATATGGTTTTTACATAACACTTATTTATGGAAAATTAATGAATTCAGTAGTAGGTTTTGACATTTTATTATTTTATCTGGTAGGAAAAAGTCCTTCTTTCTTAAGTAAGGACTTAATTAGTCCTTATTTCTTAAGGCCTGGATTTGCAAGATTGTTTTCAAAATTGCTTTGTGCATATGTTTATATTTTCAATTCCATATGAATTTTAAAATCACCTTTCAATTTTGTGCTTGTATTAAAGTTTGGGTAAACTTCAAGATAGCTGACTTTTAACAGTTAAAACTTTCCAACTAAAAATGTGGCTTTTCTCTCAAATGACAAGCTTTGTATAATTTCTTGTAGCTTCCCTTCTTGTTTTCTCTTTGAAAGATTTTTAGAATATTTTTGTTATGATATTATCTTTAGATGAAGGTCAATTCATATCTTGTTCTTTTATATTTTTAGCTTGGTGGGCCTTTTCTTGAAGACTCTTGTCTTTCTTTAACATTGAAATACATTTATCCATTGTTTTAGGCAATTTGTACCTCTCCATTTTCTTTGTTTTCTCTTTTGGGAACTCCTTTTAGTCTAGCTTTGGGCTTCCTGCTTTGATCTTCATTAATCCTTTAGTCCTGTTCTAGTGTTTTTAGTGTCTGAAGTACTTTTTAAGGTTATCCATCTGGCTATGCTAGAGAATGCTGGTCTGGGTATATGTTTTACATGGGCATATGATAGAATCAGCATTACCTCAAATGGTCAAGCTGCCTTTCCTGTGATGAGGACACAGAGTTTTTACCTGGTAAAAGTATGTAGACGGAGGAGCAAGAGGAGCCTGTGCTGGGCACTTTCTGTTTGCCTCTCCAGACTTACAGTTGACCTTTCGCAATTCACATCTCCCCGTTGGGAGGCTGACTACATCTGTGGGCTCCTTCATCTTTTTATTTTATTTTATGTATTTATTTATTATTTATTAATTTATTTATTTTGAGATGGAGTCTCGCTCTGTCGCCCAGGCTGGAGTGCAGTGGCACGATCTCGGCTCACTGCAAGCTCCGCCTCCCGGGTTCACACCATTCTCCTGCCTCAGCCTCCTGAGTAGCTGAGACTACAGGTGTCCACCTCTACACCTGGCTAATTTTTTGTGTTTTTAGTAGAGACTGGGTTTCACCGTCTTAGCCAGGATGGTCTCGATCTCCTGACCTCGTGATCCACTTGCCTTGGCCTCCCAAAGTGCTGGGATTACAGGCATGAGCCACCGCGCCCAGCAAGGGCTCCTTCATCTTTGGGCTTTCTGTGACACCCTGGAAGAAGATAAGAGGAGTGTGGTGCTGTAACATTGGTTCCTCCCACTCTCTCTCCACATGGACAGCCCAACTGCCTCCTCTCAGGCCTCCCTCTCTGCCAGACCTCTGGTGCTGGCTTTCGGCAGTTGCTCCTTCCCTTGCCCTTTTAGACCCAGAGGTTTTAACTGTAACCCCAACGTCACCCCTCATCCATCTGTATGTATCCACCCATACAGATGGATACTGTATTATCCATCCCTGTGATTTTCCCACCCTGGCCCACATTTGGTAAAAGTCTTTTTATTATTCTCAAATTATTTTAATTTGCATGTTCCATCTGTTTCCTCCTGCTACTCAGCAAAATACAAACGCCTGTAATCCCAGCACTTTGGGAGGCCAAGGGGAGTGGATCGCAAGGTCAAGAGATCAAGACCATCCTGGCCTACATGATGAAACCCCGTCTCTACTAACAATACAAAAATTAGCTGGGTGCTGGGCCGGGTTCAGTGGTTCACGCCTGTAATCCCAGCACTTTGGGAGGCTGAGGTGGGTGGATCATGAGGTCAGGAGTTCCAAGAACAGCCTGGCCAAGGTGGTGAAACCCCATCTCTACTAAAAATACAAAACATTAGCTGGGCGTGGTGGTGGGCACCTGTAATCCCAGCTACTCGGGAGGCTGAGGCAGAGAATTGCTTAAACCTGAGAGGTGGAGGTTGCAGTGAGCTGAGATCATGCTGTTACACTCCAGCCTGGGCGACAGAGCGAGACTCCATCTCAAAAAAAAAAAAAAAGATGGCATCTGCCTGTTGTCCCAGCTACTCAGGAGGCTGAGGCAGGAGAATCGCTTGAACCCAGGGGGCGGAGGTTGCAGTGAGCCAAGATTGCGCCACTGCACTCCAGCCTGGTCTCAAAAATAAATGAATTAATTAATTAATGAATTAATAAAAATAAACAACGTACAATAGAGAGGTTCAATAAGGCCAAAAGTGGTTCCTTTCAAAATTTTAATGTAACATACCAACACTGACATATTAGACATTTATAATTAGACATATTAGACATTAATAATCCAATGGCCAACAAGAAAATACTTTTTTTTTTTTATATTTAGATGGAGTCTTGCTTTGTGGCCCAGGCTGGAGTGTGCAGTGGCATGATCTCAGCTCACTGCAACCTCCACCTCCCAGGTTCAGCCAGTCCTCCCTTCTCAGCCTCCCGAGTAGCTAGGATTACAGGCATGCACCACCTTCCCTGACTAATTTGTTTTCATATTTTTAGTAGAGACGGGGTTTCACCATGTTAGCCAGGCTGGTCTTGAACCCCTGACCTCAGGTAATCCACCCTCCTTGGCCTCCCAAAGTGCTCAGATTACAGGTGCGAGTCACCATGCCAGGCCTAGAAAATACATTTTTAAATTAAAAATATTACTTCTGCAAAATCTCCAGACCTAAAGGTTTCACCAGTAAATTTTGCTAAATATATAAGAAAGAATAATACCAATCTTACTAGTCATGACATTGGTCAATACCAGTGAGCATGACTGAGGAAAAAGGGGCAGGGACACAACAAATGACAGAAATAATACATGGAATTCAGTATAGTCTTCTAAAACATTACATAATGGTAAGACGATATGATATACAACTTTGTATCTTACATTTGAAAATGTATATGAAAAAGACATGTTCCTAGAAAAATAAAGCTCATTAGAACTCACACTTTATGTTCTTCTTCTCTCTCTGTTTCTCTGTTTTGTTTTCTTTTGTTTTGTCTTCTTTCACTCAGACACATAGGAGGTCCACGCAGCATGAGCAGCTGGCTGTTCAGAGACACGTGGATTTGCTCCCTGGTTATTCAAAGCTGATTCAAAGCCAATTAAAGCTGCTGCTTTGGCTGGGGTCCCAACCTCCAGTGGGAAAAACATTCTTCTTTCACTGCTGGTGTCACCCACTGTTCCACAGATCCAAGACAACCCCCAATGTTTGGTATAAATTTAGTGAAACAGCTCTTTCCATTCTTTTTCTTTTTTTTTTTTTTTTTTTTTTTTTTTTTGAGACGGAGTCTCGCTCTGTCGGCGCGATCTCGGCTCACTGCAAGCTCCGCCTCCCAGGTTCACGCCATTCTCCTGCCTCAGCCTCCCAAGTAGCTGGGACTACAGGTGCCCGCCACCACGCCCGGCTAATTTTTTTGGTATTTTTAGTAGAGACGGGGTTTCACCGTAGTGTCAATCTCTTGACCTCGTGATCCCCCCGCCTCGGCCTGCCAAAGTGCTGGGATTACAGGCATAAGCCGCCGCGCCCGGCCTCTTTCCATTCTTAACTCATGCTAAGCATCTCAGCTTGGGGTCAGGAAAATGCCATGGGACTTGAGCTCTTCCCCTAGAGTTAGAGAATTCTCTGCCTTAGTTGCAATAAAGGAAAAGATATACATTCTTCCTACAAGCACCAAAGTAGGCTCAAAACTTGTTCCCTAGAGTAGAGTATTAAAGTTCCTGGCAAAGATCTTGCCAGCGATCAAAGCAGTGGCTCGTATGTTCCCTCGGACTGAAGCTACAGTCTCGTCTTCACTTCCTGTTCCTTCCCTTCGTCCTCCGCGTAGGCACACCTGCTTCTTACAGTTGTGGATCATAGCACCTCCTCTCCAGCCTCAGGACCTTTGTAAGTGCTGCGCCTTCTTCCTTGACTGCTGTTCACCTGGGATCTTCAGGGCACAGTCCTTACCTCCTGCAAGTCTTGATTTAAATGTCACTTTCTCAGGGAGGCCCACATTCATCACCATTTCACACCCACCTCCCACATGACTTTATTTTACCTCTTCTCTCTTCCCCTCTTCTTTTAGAGTACTTATGATCTTATATGGTACATTTTGGGATTTGGAGTTCTTCTGTATCCACCACTGCCATGATTAATTAGAATGTTGGAAATCAAGGAAACTTGATTTTTTGGCCTGTGATGAAAACTATGGGGTCTAACAGTGTCTGATAAAGTGGCAGACCTTCAATTATTATTTGCTGAGTAAATGCATGAAAGTGTGTAGACAACTAGCTCTAGAAGCTCAAATGTGTGATAGCATGTTTTATAATACTGGAAGAGGCCAGGAACGGTGGCTCAGGCCTGTAATCTCAGCACTTTGGGAAGCCAAGCTGGGCGGATCTCTTGAGGTCAGGAGTTCGAGACCAGCCTGGCCAACATGGTAAAACCTTGTCTCTACTAGAAACGCAAAAATTAGCCGGGTGTGGTGGCACATGCCTGTAATCCCAGCTACTCTGGAGGCTGAGGCACAGCATTGCTTGAACCCAGGAGGTGGAGGTTGCAGTGAGCTGAGATGGTGCCCCTGCACTCCAGCCTGGGCAACAGAGTGAGACTCTGTCTCCAAGAAAAGAAAAAAGAATAGAAAAAAAAAAAAAGAAAAACAGAAGAAGAAGGAAGAAGAAAGGGAGGAAGAGGATTTATCATTCACTTACATTGGAAACAGTGAAAATAAATGATAGCTATAATTTACTCACATCTGATCTGAAACACAAATTCAGGGTAATTTATGAGCAAGTCATTTTCCGGTGGGCTTTCGATTGAGTGTGAGTTTGGAATGAATGCTGGTACTTCCACCTGCAGCACCAGGAAGCCGTCGTTGTAGGGAGGCCACCAACTTGGCTGGCAGGCTGCTTCTGCCTCAGTTAGTGATGACGGTGATTTGGAGAGAAAGGACACTCCGCTAGGCTCCAAATCCAAAGGGTCAAGTGGATAAATGAAATGAATATCTAAATAAATATCTATTAGGTCAAAAGTTTGTTTTCATCTAAATGAAATCTGAACACTCCTTAGGGCTGTGAAACATAGACAAAGGACATGGCCAGCTCTGGAGTGGGGTCTGGACTTGCTCTCCCCTGCTGGAAGTGCTTTTCCTCCCAGAGCTCAGAGCACCATGTGCGTGTGACCCCTGCCTTTTCACAGGCCATTGCCACGGGGCATCCACCTGGTCCACCAGCCCCAAGATGAGTCAATCTCCCACTCAGGAATTGGGTGGGGAAGGGAAAGAAAGAGGGACGAGAGAAAGAGACAGTCACACACAGGCAGTGGAGCTTCCCTGCACCCACCAGGGAGCTTGAGCGGCTCATCTGCAGGGCAGGGAAACCTTTTTACTACCATTGGGAAGACGCTGAGCAGAGAGGTGAGGGGCCGGCATTTCTTGTCTCCCTGTGGCTTTGCCCACTCACAGTTCAGTCTCTCCTGTCCTTGGGGAAAAGGAGGGAAACTGTGTTAGTCAGAGTTCTACAGAGAAATAGACCCAAAAAGATGTGTGCGTGTGTGTTTATATATGTTCACAGAATGTATATATGTGTATATATATGTATATGGACAACTGCATGTCTCTATTATTTAGAGAGAGAGAGGAGAGCAGGAGACAGAGATTAAGAGAGATTCATATAAAGAATTATGTTCATAATTTATATAATAATTTGTTCATTTAATCGTAAAGTCTGGCAAGTCCAAAATCTGCAGGGTGGGCCAGAAGCCTGGACACCCCAGAAACAGTTGCATCTAGACTCTGAAGACAGTCTGGAGGCAGAATTCCCCCTTTCCCAGGAAATTCCAATCTGTTTTCTCGGGAAGGCCTTTACTGACTAGATGATGCCTCCACACACGGAAAGCAATCTGCCCTACTGAAAGTCTACTGCCTTAGAGGTTTAGCTCATCTAAAAAATACCTTCATAGCAATTTCCAGACTGGTGTTTCACCAAATAGTTGAGTAGGTTGGCCTCGCCAATTTGACATGTAAAATTAACTATCACGGAAACAAAATAATCAATATAGGTAATAAATGTGCCAGAATGCTGTGATGTTTCAGGATGACCTTGTTTACATTTACATTTATTGTCAAAGCTTACCTTCACTTTTTATATGGGCAATTAAATCTGCTACTGAGGGCATCAAGTACTGATTTAATTTACAATCTTGACAAGTAAGATAGGTTCCTATTTTCTCCTCTCCATAAAAGTAATAGGTTTGGAGAAACCAGACTGGAAATAACTGTCCAGATTTTAAAGTATAACCTCTTGTTTGGAATAATAAGTATGTAAATAAGCATCATAAAATATGAAACCAAACATTTTATGATTCTTTTATATACATTATCCCCTTGCATTTTTAAAAAATAAGGAACACCTTATTAGCCATATTTTCACATGGTGAAACCAACACCCCCAGCTCAGACTATGCTGTGGTAGGATCCAGGGTCACTGATATCCGATCCCATGGTATTTTCACAATATCCCACTCTTTCTTTGCATGTGGCTCCTTTTTAGCTGCATTGCGAGTAAACAGGATGTGGCTCTTTTCAAACCAATTCCATGCATATGTGAAGAAAATTGATCCTGAAATGCCTTTTGCCAAAGATGCTTATGGAGAAGTGTCTGTGTCCGGAGGCTGCAGGGAGGCTGGTTTAGGATTGGCCATCCCTCAGTCTGGGCTGGATTCTCCCTCCGGTCTCTGGGGTTCTCTTTTCTATTCACAAAAGGGTGCTAAGCACTACAGAGATGGTTTAATCTCTATACCCTGTGGCCCACAAATACAAGATACCAGCGTGGCCAATGGGGCTTCCATAAGAGTGGCAATCAGGGATCTCGAGCTTCCCATGACATTTTGGGCCCTGGAATCAGATCACAGTTCTACAGTTGTCCTGGCACTAAAACTCATGAGAAGGTTGTGACTAGATAGAAGGAGGGAAGACTGGAGGCTGACAGGAAGCAATGCCAGTGAACAAATGCCTTTGCAGGATGCATGAGTTTGGGCCACAGATGGTCAGGGGAGGTGCTGGTGCAGACGGGCTCGGTGGCAAAGCAGTAACTGCGGATGGCCATTTTATGGCTGCAGATCCCAGCACATTTATAAAAGACGGGTGGTTCATGAGAATGTACATTTCGTCGTGGAAATACTGTAGTTGGAGGAGATTTCTGAAAGCTGACAAATAAGTGTAAGTGATTTAACTTGCAAAAGATGATCATATGTGAGAAAGGATGTCTCAAATTAGGAAATAACTTGTTAAGTAAAAAAGCCTCGTGTGTATTGATTTAAAAAAAGAGATTTTGGTGCTCATCACTGTAAAAGGATAACAATAAGCTGAAGGGCTACTTTTTCCTGTAAACATAATTTTGTATCACCAGTTTTTTTTCAACAAGGACTTGAAATTCAGAAAAAAAATTAAGTCAGAGAAATCATGGGAAAAGGGCAAAAAAAAAAAAAAAAGATAGGAAAAGTACAGAAAAAAATAAAACATCCACTCAGGTTCTGGACACTTTGTTAGAACTGAGAACACAGATCCAGAGCTTCCTAGCAGTTAGTGTAAGTGGGAAATACCACTGTTCATAAAATTCAAAGGGTTTTTAAGACCCAAAGGAGCATAGATATCTAACTCTGAGATCTCACAGTTCTCTGATGATTCTGAGGAGGACATGGTATGAACAAATTATGCCTTAGTGTTTGCCGAGGTTGTATCAATGTCCAAACATTTCATCCAGCAAAGCAATCACAACTGAACACAGGTAAATGATGGCTGCAGACTCAGCTTCTCAGTAGCCCAGAGAGTGAGAGCTCACCAGGGCAGAAGGTCCCTGAACCAGAGGCCGGCAGTGCACATGTGCTTTGGTCAGGGGAGAAGGACAACCATGCCCCACGGGGCTGAGGACCAGTGGCTGGAACAAAGCCATGATCCTAATTATTTTGATACCTTGTTTCTTACTTTGCCTTTGGGCCTCCATGGAACTCCTGTGCAGCTGGCTAGGCCGTGGCCTATGCACAATGCCTGAGTCTACACACAATCAGAAAAGCAGCCTGAAACTCTGTGGACTGTGTCTGCTTTATTCTCAGCAGGATTAATGACCCTCATTGAATTCCCATTGCCTCAGAGCTTGGCAAAATTGAAATTGATTATGGGGAAGCTAGAAATACTTCATTTCAAATCCCAACATAACCTGAGTAAGGGAATTGCATGCTTTTCTCATCAAAAGTTCAAATAACTTAGTAATGGTTCAAAACGGTCTCTTACTGTCTTCTCAATTTAGCACACTAAATGGTCTTAGAGATCATTGCTTGTCTTTGGACTAAGGCAGGCACAGTAATACATGTTCATTCTTTTGGCCTGAGCTGTTACTTATAACTTATCTAATAACTTATCTTCATCCTCTTTTCACTCATTCTATACTGGGCACCATGTCCGATCATTTTTTTCTGATATTTGGATCAGTTCTATTCAACTGATAACCCTGTGATGTCTTTTTTTCCTTCAATAGATCTTTAAATTCCAATCCTCACCCTACCCTACTCTTTCCCAATATAGCACCGTTATTCACACTGCTCCCAAAATCTGTTACATCCTCTGGCTTCTCACAATACCTTTTTGTCCTAAGACTCCATGATAATAGAGAAAAGAATTTTGGTCTTCGCAGAATGTATTGACTTAATGATATTCCAAATTTCTCTTGGGTGTTAAATATACTCCTCACCAAGTATCACTGAAAGAAAACTCTATTCACCATGAATTTAAGGATCTCAAAATTATATCTTCTCCACTCTCATAATTCCATAGCCCCTGCTGTTACTATAATGACCTATATTGCAAAAGAGTGAATTCAATTAGAGTCTAAGAGGATAACTGCTGGTATTTTTTTCATCTTTTGCCATCCCATACTTTATAAAGTGCAGTTAGACCCCCTATTTGCCTCCCAGCATACCAAAGTTATGTAGATTTTTTAAATAAAATCGACTGAAAGCATATGTTTTTAAGTACCCCTTTTGTGTCCCCTAAATTACAGAGGATAAAACCAGCCATAGAGGCAAATTCCTTTAGACCTTCTCCTAGAAACAAACACTGTCCATTACAGAAAACCTTCGATTGCAAGGACAATTCTGTAAACCATGATATTTGATCCTGGAAGCTTCCTACTTTGAACACAAAGAAGAGGGTATAATATTTACATACCTACAGCTTTAAGCTGTGTGCCTGGTGTTTTTCACTCCAGTGTGGCTGAGCATCTCCCTCTACACTGCCATCCACCCCATTCCTCACGGTTCAAGGCGCATCACAAATGTCAACTCTGTCTGAGCTGCCTTTCAAAGTAAGCAGAGAACTCAGGACTG